CCGCGTGTCCCCGCGGCCTGCGAGCCGGCGCTGCGGCGGAGGGGCACCGCAGACGCCCCGCCGCGGGGAGGAGCGGGGAGCACCCTGGTGCTACCAGGACGCACCGGCGACACCCCCGGAAACCTGCACGGCGATCGGTATCGGCGGGTGGGCAGCGGGGACCGTCCCCAGCCCCGCCAGGGGACACCCGGGACCACCCCGGCACTGCCGGGGGCGCGAGGACTCGCCGCTTGCCGGTATCCCCGGTGTTCCCGCGGTTCTTTGGCCGCCTTCTGCCGCTTGCCTTGGGGCATGGGCCCGGCCCCGCGGGGAGTGGCCGCGCGTGGGCGGCGCCGCGTGGGGGATGTCACCGATTTGGGTGTTTTTTGCTCCTTTTTCTTTCCCCCGCTCCGCAGCCGCAGTCCCCGGGCGAGGAGCCCCATGGAGCCCGCGGGCAGCGATGGCGGCCCCGGCCTCGCAGCCCCCTCCAGCCGCCGCCGCCGCCGCCGCCCGGGGCCGTCCCACGGCCCCCCCGCCAAGCGCTCGCGCGGTGGCGACCCCGAACCCGTCCACAGTGATGGCGACCGCCTCTTTGCCCAAAAAGTGAGTTCTGCGACCCAAAAGCGTGCCGAGGAGCATGCAGGTTGGACAGATGTCCCTGGGTGCAAGGTTTGCAGTTGCCTGACTGCAAAGCTGGGTGCAAGCTGGGTATAAACTGGGCGCAAACTGGGCACAAGCTGGATGACCAGGGCCCTCATTGTTGCCCTCCTCTTCCTTGCAGTGCCAGGAGCTCCAGGGCTTCATCCGGCCCCTGGCCGAGCTGCTCAACGGGCTCAAGACGGGGCGCTATGACAAAGGTGGGTATGGGGGGGAAGGGGTAGCACCCACAAAGGGGGTGGGGGTGCGCACAGGGGGCTTTGTCCTGCCACCCACATGGGACCTCAGCACCTTGTCAGCTGATGCTGTTGTTAGACATTAATGGGATGAGGAGAGCAGCCGGAGCAGCCGAGCTCCCGGGGTTCTTCCCAGGGTGCCCCTTTGCCCATGTTAGTCTGGGGGCTGGGTCGCATTTCCCGCTAGCTTTGCCTCAATCCCACGGGATCGGCCCATGTGCGCAGGGCTGAGCAGCTTCCAGCAGAGCGTGGCCATGGACCGGCTCCAGAGGATCATTGGTGTGCTGCAGAAGCCTGAAATGGGGTGAGTTTTGCCCTAAACGGGGCAACCTCTCCCTGGGATGTTGGGGGGAGTAGGGAGGGGGCTGCACGCTGCCGCGTCCCCGCGTGACGGCCCCGCTCGCTGCCCCACAGCGAGCGCTACCTGGGCACGCTGCTGCAGGTGGAGATGATGCTCAAGCTCTGGTTTCCCCACGTCGCCCCCAAAACGGCCACCTTGGAGCAGCGACGGCGGCGCGGTGACACCCGCGACACGTCCCCATTGCCTGCTGCCACCGTGGCCACCACCCGCCCCGGCATGAGCGTCACGTGGGTGCACGCGGCGCCCATCTGCACCCTGCCCGGAGCCGCTGCCAGCCCGGACTCCTCCGCCACGGCCGCTGTCACCGTCACCGCCGCTGGCCCCCCGGCGCCGCCGCGGCCCCACAGCGTCCCCGGCCACCCTCCCGACCACGGACACGCTGCACCTCTGCGTGCCAAGACTGTGGGGCCACCCGCGCCACCGCGCGCCTGACCCCTGCCCACGGATCCCCTTATTTTATTTTATTTTATTTTATTTTATTTTATTTTATTTTATTTTATTTTATTTTATTTTATTTTTTGTCCTTTAATTATTTCTGCCTTCTTGGGGTTTATATATTTTGTAAAGTGAGACTTTGGAAGCGTGCGGGCTGAAAAGCCGCCACAATGGAGCGGTCTGGGACAATTGGGGGTGAAAGCAGCTCCGGTGGGAGCATGGGGGGGGCTTCCCCCTCCCCCCCCAGACTGGGGGTGACATCGGGGACACTCCTGTGCCTTGGTCCCCCCCTCACTGCGCCGGCTGCTGCATGGGGCCGGGCCCCTCCCGCGCCGAGACGACGGGTTTGGGGCAATAAAGGGGTGTTTTGGGGCAATAAAAGCGCCTTGGGGCCCACGCGCGGCTCGACTCTCTGCAGGGGGTGGGGTTTTGGGGGGGAGGATCACGGCCCCGCCCCTTGCTGCCTGGCCCCGCCCCCACACGGCCATGACCCCGCCCCTTGCTGGATGACCACGCCCCCTCCCCGCCCCCGGGGCGCCCAGCCCCCGTTGCCATGGCTCTCGGGCGGGAGGGGGTGGGCAGCGCGCTGCTCCACTTCCGCTTCCGGCGCGCTCGGCCGTGAGTCGCGCCGCTTCGGTCCGCTCGGTGCCGAGGGGGCGGCCCGGCTCGGGGCGGGGCCCGCGGCCGCTCCCGCAGACATGGCGAACCACGCGCGCTTCGTGGCGCGCACCGTCATGGTGCAGGGCGGCAACGTGGAGGCGGCCTACGGCGCGCTCACCAGGCGAGTGCCCCGAAGGGGCAGCGGGAGCCGGCGGGTGGCGGGGGGACGTGCGCGGGCTGACCGGCTCCCGCCGCCCGCAGGATCCTCACGCACGACGGCCTCATCGACGACGTGAGGCGGCGCCGCTACTACGAGAAGCCGTGCCGGCGGCGGCAGCGCGTGGCCTACGAGGCGAGCCGCCGCGTGTACAGCGCCGAGATGGCGCGCAAGCTCGCCTTCCTGGCGCGCGCCGCCCGCCGCGACCCCTGGCTCGGCTGCTAGCCCGAGCGCCGCGCGGCCGCTAATAAAAGAAGCCTCTGGGCAGCGTGGCCCGTGTTTGGGGCGGTCTGGGGCTGCTCCGGCTCCGCTCGGCCCGAGGAGCCCCCGCGGAATCCCGGGATAACCCTCGCGGATCGCGGGGGGGGGGGGTGTTGGAATCTCCTAGCCCCGCCCCTTCCGCAGGGGGGTGGGCGGGGTCATCCTCCAAGCACTCAGCCCCCTCCCCCGCTTTTGCACACGGCGCCTCGCACTCAGCCCCGCCCCGCCTTGCACACTCCCCGCTTTGTTGCACACGGCCCCTCACACTCAGCCTCTTCCTTGCACACGCTCCCCTCTCCTGCACACGGCCCCTCACACTCAGCCTCCTCCTTGCACACGGCTCCTCGCACTCAGCCCCGCCCCGCCTTGCACACGCCCCCTTTTGTTGCACACGGCCCCTCGCACTCAGCCCCCTCCTCGCACACTCATCTCTGCGCCCTCGCCCCCCCCCCCACATTTGCACGCGGCCCTTCGCGCGCTCCTTCCCGCGCCGCGCGCTGGTGCGGAAGCTGCGTCACCCGTGACGTAGCACGGGGGAACGGCGAGCCCCACGTGACCCAGGCGGCTCAGGACGCGTCACGTGCCCGGACAGCCCTCTCTTCCCCCCTCCCATTTCCCGGCATCTCCCGCGCGGGCGCGCGCAGGCGCCTTGCGGCTGTTTCCGCTTCCGCCCCGAGGCGCCGTCGCCGTGAGGGCCCTGTCGCCGCCGCCCGGCCTGGCCC